AAAAGACAAAAAGGAAAAAAAAAAAAAAGATCATATTTTACTAGAAGCCTGAAGCTACAAATGTAATCTAATTAGTTGGGGCTAAAGTGCAGACTCTGGAGTCACACTGCCGAGGTTCACATTCGGTATCACCTCGAGCAAGTTGCTTCAGCTCTTAGTAACTAAAAGCTCATCTATAAAATGGGGATAATAATGATATCTATTCTCACAAGGTTGCTGCGAGGACGAAATAAGATGATACACTAAAATGCGTATAATGATGTCCAGCACACAAACGTTCAAGAAGCGTGAGCTATTATTACTTGGCCACTGCTTCTCCTAACACTTATGCTATACGGCTTTCTCATTCACCAAAAGAAAATCTATTATTACATTGTACCAGTAGATATATTTGCATAAAATTAATTTCAGTTAATAAATATTTTGGGCTATAAAGACAATTTCTAGTGAGTAAAATGAATGAATTTTCAAAGCCCCTGAAATCACACAAGTTGGAAACTTTAAGGAAAAAAGCAAATGGGCAATTTTCATACATTTCAAGATCAGTAAAACTATTCAAACCTTACACCATCAATTCACTCCTAGGAATTTAAAGAAAGAGAAAAAGGAAATAAAAGGAGAAAGCTATATAGAAAGCTGTTCATTAAGGCCTCGTAACTGCGAAAAACTAGATAAGCTGCAGTGATAAGGAATATTTAGAGTTTGCTTCAAAATACTTCAGAAAAAATAAATAAAACATTAAAAGTTGAAGAAGAGAGAGGAATAGATCAAACAAGAGGAATTATGCTGATAACTATTGAAGCTGGTCATGAATATGTGTAAGTTTATACTATTCTCTGTTTGAAAATACCCATAACGAGAGAGGAATAGATCAAACAAGAGGAATTATGCTGATAACTATTGAAGCTGGTCATGAATACATGTAAGTTTATACTATTCTCTGTTTGAAAATACCCATAAAAAAAGTGAAAAATAAAAGCCATAAGCCCTTCTCCAAAGGATAATTATGAGGATTAAAACTGCAACATAGAAAATGTTTCTAAAAAAAACAGAAGAAATATAACCACAACCACAACCACATAAAGTCTGTATGCACACGAAAAAAATAAATTGTCAGGATCGTGGGACTGTGAGTAATCACTCTTTCTTTAAATATGTTTTATTCATTTATTAATAATAAAACATAGGGCAATTTAAAAGTGTCTTAAAAAATTTTTTTCATGCCAATAAGGTCAAGCCTTAACTTTCTGAAAGTTTTAACTTAAAATATTTCAAAAATAATTTCAACAGGAGTTTGAATACAATTTCATTTACTTTATTAAGTTTTACTTAAGTGGTTATTCAAGAGTCATTGGTACTTAATTTTTTTAAATGATCCCCCACCATTGCCACATCCTCCTAAGAAGACCTCAAAAACAAATAAACAAACACTTAATTTATTACCAAAAACATCCCTTGAAGAGGAGAAAGTTAACGTTTTCATTTTCCAGAAAAGGCAACCACACCTAAAGAAACAGGTAACTTATCAGAGCAATAGAATCAAATCAGAGCAAGAGACGTAAATCAGTAATGAAACCTGAGTTTAGATATTCAGAATCCAACTTACCTATCTCTTCCACTAGTGCTTGCTCATTTAAACCAGCTTCCATTTTATTTTCACGGAAATGTGGCATTTCTCAAGCATGCTACTTTGTGTTGTTGCAATTGAACATTACCTTTTGCTATGATCTGGCTCTGGGTGCTCAGCATCTGGCTTTGCTGTTGATGACCTTCTCTCTCTTGGAACCTTATACATCAACACACATGAGAAGAATTTAGCTCTTCCCCAGTGAAGGACGGTTCACCCAAAAATACAGTCTTTTATTTTTCAGTAAATCCAATCATTCATTTATTTACTGATTGCCAATCAAACACCAGGCCCTGGGGATGAGCGATGAATAAGACAGGGTTTGCCCTTGAGCAACTTATAATCTGGTCACCATGTTGATATGTAAAAAGCAACTGCTACTTATCTGCCAAATAAACTCAGAGTATCACAAATTTACTTCATCATTGGAATTTGGATTTCATCTCTTAAAAGAAATACCTCTGGCCTGGTTTTACCCATTTATCTACTCAATATAACAGAAAAGAAGCTACTGAAGACACAGTTGAGTCTTTCAACTTTCTCACTGCTCTTCCCTACTTCTCTCCTTTCAGATCAGATGCAAAACCTAAAGGAACAGCCATGTTAACCGTTCATTTCTTCTAAGATCCAAATGCTGGCTTCATATGATAAATTTCTTTAGATACTTGGGGTTCCAATGTCCATTACCCAAAGGACAAATCTAACTCAACCTGTTCTATTCCTTTTTTGATTCTGTTTTTCTTTGCAAAGGAGGTAAAAAGTAGGCAAACGTTAGTGGGTGTCCTGTAGGCATCAACCCAACTGAGACCTGATCCCAATATGCACTCCAAAATCGCCAGGTCATTAGAAAACAGTTTTCAATGTGAGAATTCTATCCCTGCATTCTTGTCTCACTATTAAAGACAAAATAAATTGTTTTATGTATTAACAATGTGCTTTTAGGGCCGGCCCCGTGGCGCACTTGGGAGAGTGCGGCGCTGGGAGTGCGGCGACACTCCCGCCGCGGGTTTGGATCCTATATAGGAATGGCCGGTGCACTCACTGGCTGAGCACGGTGTGGGCAACACCAAGCCAAGGGTTGCGATCCCCTTACCGGTCACGAAAAAGACAAAAAAAACCCAAAACAATGTGCTTTTAGGGCCGGCCCTGTGGCGCACTTGGGAGAGTGCGGCGCTGGGAGTGCGGCGACACTCCCGCCGCGGGTTTGGATCCTATATAGGAATGGCCGGTGCACTCACTGGCTGAGCACGGTGTGGGCAACACCAAGCCAAGGGTTGCGATCCCCTTACCGGTCACGAAAAAGACAAAAAAAACCCAAAACAATGTGCTTTTAAAGCTTTACCAAAGTTATTACATAATGACTGATGCTTATAACCAAAGAACTGAAAACAATTCAATAATTCATTTAAAAAAGAAAATAATTTTACACCTATCACAAGAAGCCTGATAAATAAATACTACTATTAAATTGTCATCCTTCATGGACAGACATAAGGATTTATCTCTTCCTGAGATGTAAAATACTTTTACACTTTTAGGACACCTTATTTAGGACGCACACACACGTACCCACATGACCACTAGTGTTATTACCTTGGTCTTACTGGCACTAAACTTATTGATTTTCTCCCATTCTCAAAAGTTTCGGTTAAAAATATGTAACTTCGTAATTAACATCTGAGGAATTCATGGTTTTTACACTGATTGGGTCAATAAAATAAGCCATAAGAACAGATATATAATAATTTGCACTTCAAAGGAAACCTTCATAGCTATGCTTCCCAGGCAAGGGTTTTTCTAGTATCATTAGTTATCATACACGTTTCTGTTCATGGTCAAAGAAAAAAAACCTTACCTCAATCTATCAAATACAACAAGTTGGACACATGGCCTCATACAAGGAAATAATTAAATATTTTGTTCAGTTCCCACCCTAATTTTGATAATCAAACCATATCTTCTTTGCTTTTTCCCCCCTCTATATTTCTTATATTTAGGAAAGAATACAGTGCCAGAATGTAACAAAAGGCAAGTAATTGGTGAATCTACATAAAGGTACTTGGAGCTAATTATCTAGTATTTGAAGCTGTCTTGAGGTTTAAAAGTTGTCAAAACAAAAAAGATGGCAAAAATAAACATATATTACTAATATATATATGATTACTGTAATATACATAGACACACATATATATCCATAGGAAGATCCTGTCATTGAGAACCTTTGAGAATCACGAAAAGCTCCTGTCTTTATAAAAGCAGTGGTGACAGCACAATGATTACATACAATAGTTACATGTGGCAATAATGAGACAGGCCACATGGCAAAGTTGTGTTTCAACTCAATCCACTCAGTCTGCTTTAAATTGTATCCTGAACTCTTAATAGCAGATATTTGGGGATGGCTAATGCCAAAGGGGACACAGAAGCAAAACCAGTGTCGCAGCAGACAGCGTGCTGTATTGAGAAAAGGACAGCCTTTGGCACAAACAGAACAGGAATGAAATCCCAGCTGCACACATCCTGGCTGTGTGACCTGAGCATGAGAAGTAATATACGTGGTGATCACATCCAGCATAACACAGACATCTGTGCGTGGCAGCTGGCATTACTAGGACAACCACGATGATTATGACACAAGTCAGTGGTGTCATCTCCAAATAAGGAAAACCATGTAAAAATCCACAAAGATTATAGATTGTGTTTAATTAAGACTAATCCAAATTTCTTGAAACAGGCAACAAAATATATCCTGATCTTAGAACTAGAAAGTCCCAGACTAGAAAATATGGGTTTTTTTCCCCCCATGAATCCTACAATCAAATAAAATCAAGCTCTGGAATATCATTTAAGGACAAGGAAATCACCTTGACGACACAGAAATAAAATTTACAGCGCAGGTAAATTAGTCCTGCCCACTCTTCACAGCACTAAGAACTACCTTCGGTAAAATGTTCAAATCCAGTAAGATACAACTACCATCTTCTTTCATGGTAGCTTTACCTTTTAGATAGAGCCAGAACAGCTGGCTACTTCTCACATTTTAAAAGCAACCCTTTGATTCTGCGAGCGTGGATTTTCAGCTTTGAACCACACTAAGTCAAAGTAGTCATTAAACTACTTATACTCAGTACAGAAGCAACTTGCATTACATGCTACCAGCAAATGACTGTTTTATATGCAGCTGAATCAAGTGCATCTTAGACTGTTGTTAAGGGTTGTAAAGAAAGAGCAGGCAAACCTACCTTATAATAGTCATAGAGCAAACCCAGAGCAGCTGCGCTGTCTTCATCTCCGTTGATGCTCATCATCGCTTTGGTTGCTGCAGTGAGAGGGTTTTCCAGGAAGGATTTCCAGGCTTCATCCTCACTAGTATAAGAGCGCCGCTGTGGATAAAGTGCTTCATTCTGAAGAACCAACACTGGCCGTTTGCTTTGGAAAAAGTAAAAAAACAAACAAACAAAAAACAAACAAAAAACGGTTACACTTTTCTACTGCAAGGCTTCATGAGCTAATTCTTAAAGAACCAAACAACCAATTCCTTGACACTCCTGTCAAACAGTCTGTTGTTTCATCAATGACCCCAGTAAGTCAAATTAAGACATGACCAGAAGACAAACCACTTAAATGCAGAAATGCAGACAAATGGGTCCGTCAGTAAGATATAAGATATTTAGGTAGCCAGGGAGCCTGTGGTTAACCTACACAATGAATGCAGGATATACTATTTGGCAAGAAAAAAAAAAAAAAAACCCGAAGAAAATGCCAGGCTATTTTCAAACACTTTATATAAACAAACACAAGGACATAGTAAGGCAAAACAGAACATTTATTCCCTTCAAACACACAGTCAGGACTGTGCCCTCTTCAAGAGAGTATGTGTGGGTCATCATGCTGCTACATGTCATTTTCCTCTCTGTCCTGTTGATGCCTGGCCTGAAAAAATTTCCTACCTAAAAACAGCGGGGAGGGGCAGAAAGAAAAAAGGGATACTACTGCACTTAATCCTTGGGGGTATATGAGAAAGTTAGAATACTCTACTTACTGATTACCAGCAGATTGGAATGTGGCCAAAGGGGACTGTAAATCAATAAAGAGACATAATTTTCTAGCATGGGAGTTAACTGTTTATCTTAGAGATAAACACTTAAGAGTCTACAACAATAAATGAAGCCACTGAACAAAAAGAGATTAAAAAAAAAAATAGGTGGGGAAATCTGTTTTAAAAAATCTTCACTAGTTTTCCACACTGGGCAAGAACTGTTTTCAGTTTAACATTGTAGTTTGGTGGGGAAAATCTAGAAAAATCAATGGTGATTGTAGTGAAGCCTTACAGAAGATTTAATTTAAAAGATTAAAGCAAACATTACTGATTCCAAAAACCTGAAATGTCAACAGTCTCAACAACTGTTCAGTTGGTACTATTTAATAAGTCAATAAAGAGAAAAATGGAACACTGACTCTAGTAGAATGAAGCACTTTCTTTTAAAGGAAAGAAAATAAATTTTAAATCTTTGGCACTACTCTGAATTATCACTATTCTAACAAGCAAATTTAAAGATCAGTTCTCATTGCAACACACAAATGAAATATGTAAATGGCCTAAAGGTGACCTACCTATTCTAAAAGTGAATGTAGAAAGACCGATTATCTTCTCAAATAATCAACAAAGGTTAGGGCTTGGCAGTCACCCAGACCCTTTAAAAACAGATATAGATTTAGAAAAAAGAGAACATCTTTGACAAAGGGGTAAAAAAAAAACAAACCCAATTTAATTTACACTCCATCAAAATGAAATATGAGTATTTCAAAGCCAGTGTTTTTACTCATGCCTACACATAAAGTCCTAGGAGCTTACATTTGGTAAGAAAAGAAGTCTTGAGGTGGTGTACTATTTTAACACAAAATAAACACAAAGTGTTGTTCAAAGGAGAGATAGTAAAAATGGAGGTTATACAAACCTCAAGTTTTTAAGAAAATAAATACACAAAGTGGCATTCCCTGAGCCATCAGGACCAGAGTATGACAGCTACTAAACCAGTGGAATCTTAGGGGTGATTTACTGGTGTACTGCTAAGCTATTATTAATAGTGTAATAGCTACTTCCAGAAGACTATGACAGCATTGGCTCATTCAATTCCCGTAATGCTAGTTTTTCAGCTTCCCTTCTCCTCCCACCCCCACCCCAAATTTGTACAAGCAACAGAAAATAAATATTTTTCAAATGGCTTTCTGTTTGTGATCACCCTGAAGGTGTTTCATATTTCCAAAGTATGCCTAAGGCCAAAATGTTAGCTTTGGAAATTTTGTCTTATCTAAACTATACCTCAAGAAATAAACACAAAACCAGTCGCAGGCTGCTGCTAGTCCCTAAAGGCTCATCGTCACTGTCAGGTGAGTCTTAAACTCCTCACCAATGGTCCCTCAGACTTCTGAGATATACTTCAAGCAGCAATTTAACTGCATATTCCACAACACAAGATCACTCCATTAAAGTACTCCGTACACAACATCTAATCTTCTAATCCAGAAGAAGAGCACACTTCAACAAAAGGATCCTTACCAAATAATTATAAAACTGGGAGATGTACCTATCTGCCAAGGAATTACTGATCTGAAATAAACTGATTGGTCTGATACGACTTCCTTTTTCTTTTTTTTTTTTTAATGTTATAAAACTGGGAGATGTACCTATCTGCCAAGGAATTACTGATCTGAAATAAACTGATTGGCCTGATACGACTTCCTTTTTCTTTTTTTTTTAATGTTTTTTTTTTTATTTTGGAACGATTTTATATTTACAGAAAAGTTGCAAAGAAAATACAGAAATATCCCTCACCAGGTTCCCCTAATGACTGACATTATCACATCTTACATGACCTTACATTTTCCAAACTACTTTTTTAAAATCACAAACTCCAAAAGGCATAATCGGTTAGGATTGTACTTTCTAGTTTATCACCCTGGTTTCGAAGTTTCATCCTCTTGATACTCCCGAGCGTTAAAAACGCAGTAATCTGTAATCACCACCAATGATGCAAGCGGCACAATACCTGCTCCCTCAGCTCTCACACCCGCGCAGACAGCCGGGGAAAAGACAAGGCACGACACCCCAGCATTCACCCCTTCCCTAAATTCCTCTGTCCTGGAAGTCCCAGCAGGTCGGCCGAGTGACAAGGCTGCGCGACAACAGATTACCTGGAGGAGGCTACTTGTGGGGCCGAGGAGCGCGTCTCCAAGAGATCCCTGAGCGCCACGGGGCGCCCGCGGCGTCCCCCCCCAGCCCGGCGCCCACCTCCCCGGGAGGAGCGGGAAGAGGGAGGCCCGTCTCCGGTGTCGAGTTTCCCCGAGGCGAGGGTCTCCTCGGGAGGCTCCGTCCGAACAAAGAGGCGGGGAAGGCTGCGGGGCCGAGGCCGCGGCGGCTCACGGTGGACGGCGGGTCTCCCGCCTCCGCCCTCCCGGCCGCCG